TTCATTCATTCATTCATTCATTCATTCATTCATTCATTCATTCATTCATTCATTCATTCATTCATTCATTCATTCATTCATTCATTCATTCATTCATTCATTCATTCATTCATTCATTCATTCATTCATTCATTCATTCATTCATTCATTCATTCATTCATTCATTCATTCATTCATTCATTCATTCATTCATTCATTCATTCATTCATTCATTCATTCATTCATTCATTCATTCATTCATTCATTCATTCATTCATTCATTCATTCATTCATTCATTCATTCATTCATTCATTCATTCATTCATTCATTCATTCATTCATTCATTCATTCATTCATTCATTCATTCATTCATTCATTCATTCATTCATTCATTCATTCATTCATTCATTCATTCATTCATTCATTCATTCATTCATTCATTCATTCATTCATTCATTCATTCATTCATTCATTCATTCATTCATTCATTCATTCATTCATTCATTCATTCATTCATTCATTCATTCATTCATTCATTCATTCATTCATTCATTCATTCATTCATTCATTCATTCATTCATTCATTCATTCATTCATTCATTCATTCATTCATTCATTCATTCATTCATTCCTTCATTCCTTCATTCCTTCATTCCTTCATTCATTCATTCATTCATTCCTTCTACATTCATTCAGTTATATTACACTAAAGAAGATCAAAAAGCATTCCAATTTAATTATGTTTAAAAAAGATTTATAAAAAAAAAATTTTTTTTTTATAAAACTACCAAAATTCACAGTTGAAAAGAGAGAGAGAGAGAGAGAAGAGAAAAGAGAAAGGCTATTCATACTTTAATTTTTTATCTTCCATTTTTTTTTACTTTTTATTTCTCTTTTACCCTAAAAAGAAAAAGTCAATCTAAAAAATGGGAAAAAAAAAATTGAATTTTTTTTTATTCTGTTTATTGTAAACAAAATAATTAAACAAAAAGATTTTCCTTAATTTTATTAAAAAAAAAAAAATATTTGGTAAGAAAAGGAAAAATAATGCATAAATCGAAAATGATTTTATTCGAAATTAATGCATTTTAATATAAGAAAAAAAGCAAAAAGCTCAAAAAAAAATATTTCATTATTTGGGCTATTTTGCATTTAATTCATTTGAAAAAAAACTGATTAATTACATTTTTATTTCAAACATTTAAAAATGAAAATTTCATTTATGCATTGTAAACATATTTCAAACTAAAATAATTTAAAATAAATTAATCAATTACAAATATTAATACAAATTTCAAAATAGTAATACAAATATTTCTTTTGTATGTAATATTCAAATTTCGATTGAATTAAAAAAATAATATTAAATTAGTAAGAATGGCTTTTTTCGTTTTCTTTCTCTCCTTGCAATGCTAAAATTTTTAATGGACATTGGATAACTTTTAGAAATTCGTTTCTTTTATAAAAAATCTAAAAATGAAATGGTTTAAAAAAAAGAGAGAGAGAGAGAGAGAGAGAGAGAGAGAGAAAGTTTGTACAGTGTGCTAAAATTTTAGCTTTAGCTTAAAAGTACATTAAAATAAATCTCTTAAAAAAAAAAAAAAAATTTTCGCTAACTTCAATTAAATTAACAACTAGCATTTTCATTCAAATGAAAATGCTAATTTAGCAATAAGCAAAATTTAACAAAGTTAAAGACAGAAAGAATTGATTGATTTAGTCAAAAAATTTTTACTTTCTTTTTCTTTCTTCCTTCATCATACATCAATTAATTTAAATTGACGTTTTTAAAATCAAAAAAAAAAAAGAATCACTTTCTCACGTTCTTCATATTTGTTAAACAGAGAGAGAGAGAGAGAGAGAGAGAGAGAAAAAAAATGGTTAAAATTAAAAATTGAACTTTTAAAATTTAATATGATTGAAAAGAAAAAACGAAATGATTTGAAGTATTGTGAAAAAAAAAAAAAAAAAGTAGAAATTTACTAATAATATTTATATTTTTCAAAAACAACAAAAAAAAAAACAAACATTCTAAATTATAAACTATAAAAAAACTAAAAAAAATACAAATTTTTTCCTACTTTTTTTTTTCAAATAAGAAATATTAATTTTTTGATATTATATTTTAAAAGTTAAAGAAAAAAAAAATTTAAAAAAGGAAAGAAATGCTAATATTATATATAACTAAAATCAAGAATGAATAAATTTTTTGAATAACAAAAAAGAAGAAAAGTAAAAAAATAGAAGAAAGAATTAAATTATTGTATTTAAAAATTATTCCGCAAAAAGCATTTTCACATTTTTTTCCATCCTATATGTATGGAATGTTTCTGACAAAATGTTAATAAAATCAGTGAATGAAAATTTATTGACAACAAAATGAAATGTAATGAAATAAAAAACGAAGTATAAGTATGTTATGGTTCTAAAATCTAATGGGAAATGATATCAAAATTAGCTAAATCTCCCTTGAGGGTAGAAATTGAATTTGAACTAATCCATTTCACTGCTTTTCCACCTCTTCTTGCTAATAACAACAAAAAAAAAAAAACAAAAAACAATAATTGCAAAAGCTTAATCATCAAAAATCGTCAGCTGTTCTATTCTTCAGTTCAACTCAACTCAATTCAATTCATTTCAACTCAATTCAATTCAATTCAGTTTAGTTCAATTCAAATTAAAATTTAATTTATCATTTTGTATTTATTCTAATTTTATAGCAATTATTATTATGCATAATTATGATAGACCTTAAATTCATTACCTAGAAATATGTTTACTAAATTCATTATCTAGAAATATGTCTTATTTTGAGAAATGGTATCAAAAAAAAGAAATGATATCAAGTAAAGATCAAAAAAAAATAATTATTAAATTAATGTAAAAAAATTTTTTTTTTTTTAACGATTGAAATAAAATGAGAAAAGTGAATGTGTGTAAAATGAAATTTGTATTTGATATTTGAAGCTATAATAACTTGCATTATAAATTTAATGAGTTAAATTAATTTTAAATTACTTCACATATCATTTCTTTTTTCCTTTCCTTTTTTCCCAACTAAAATTTAAATGATAAGTGATAAGCAAACATTTTAAATTTACTGCTTTTTGAATAAAAATTATCATTTTGCTTCATCGATTAGTAGTAATTTTAATAGGATTAACTAGTTAATATAAAATGAAAAAAAACAAAAAAAAAAAAACAAGAGTAAGTTGTCAATTTCAGATGAATAAAAAAGTGACATCTAATTTTCATTTCCATAAAGAAAAGATGAGAAATGATTGTGAAATAATTTTCAAATAAAATAAAATTTTTCAAAAAAACGAATAGAAAATAAAATTTTTCCAAAAAAGAATAAAATAAAATCACAGAAGAAATTAATGAACTAATAAGCATTGATTAAAAATTAATTTTACAATTAATGAGGTGATAATATCAGAGAATTACTCAAGAAAGATGTCAATATTACTGATAATAACTGATAATCTTTTATTGATAAAATGAGCAAAACCTTTTGTCACCTATCTTTGACATCAAAGATGATCAATACAATACATTATGTTATTTCATATTTTCTACTACTACTAGATCATTCTTTGATTATTTAAATTTCTACAAGCAATCGATGAAAGTAAAAATTAATCTCTCACTGATCAAAGATCATAGCAAGTACAGTTTAAGTATATAGCAAAAGTAAGTGTAGTTATATAGTAAGTATGGTTAAGTATATTATGAATTTAAGTTAATGAATTGGTACGTATAGAGAAATCTTTCTCACGTACGTGAGCATGTGAGCACTTAGTGATATATGCGTGAGTATATGCATGAATATAAATGTATAATTGTGAGAATATTTTTAATTTTAATTTCTTTTTTTGTTTTATTTAAGTAAATTCGAAGAGTAATGTAAGAAAGAAATGAAAATTAGGTGAGAGAAATATGATTAATCGATTGATAAATTAAGTAAATATAATTTATAAAATGAGAAATTAAATAAGAAATCATTGACAATAATAGTAAGTTAAATTGAAAAATTATTACTAAATTGTTAGATAATAATTTGAAATTGATTATTAGTAGGTAAAATTCCTAAAATTTAGTTGAAATTTTTTAAAAAATTTAAAATTTATTTACAAACAGGTATGTCTCATACCGTAGAAGGAAAAGAGCTGCAAGTTATTGGCAAGGTCTTAGAACGCTATATTTAGATGATGAATGTAATACTACGGTATTGGCTAGGATTAGGCATTGACTTTTATTATTAGGTTATGGGTATTTGTTGTTGGGTTTGTTGGTGTTTCCCCTACTGCTGGGTAAATTGAAGGTTTCCGGGTGGGTACTTTGTGGGTATTTTATTCATATGAATGACATTCAACAGGTCTATTGCTTTCCACATGTAAAAATATACCTTTTTTTTTTTCATATGCGTTTCTGAAATTGCTGTCTGAAAAAAACATAACTGATGCAACAATAACACTGTCAGTAAAGAAAATTTTGACTGCATTTGTAGCACTTTTCCTGAGTAACTCAAACTGTAGGTCATCAATGAAAATTTGATAGAAGTAATACACTAGGTTAAAAAATCACGAATGTCACCCGGATTAATTCCAAAATATTGCTAATTTAGAAATTATGATTAGTTATTATTTACACGCGGATTAATTTCAAAAGATTGCTAATTTAGAAATTATGATTAGTTATTATTTGGGATAGTATCAGTAACCTTTTGACATATAATCCTAACAACAAAAAAGATCAAATAATCAAAGAATCCCACCTATCCAATGGAAGCTGATGATTTTGGCTGCTTGTTCATTCTTGTAGTTGAAATTATATGCCTATCTTTTAGAGTGGAATGATCGATAGTTTGTACAGTGTAAAGTTTCTGATTGGGAGTGGTTAAATTGCCTTGCCTGCGGCTTGTTAAATTTAGCACCATACTTTTATTGCGAGTAACTTTTCGGACTATGAAGACTTTGGTGGAATTCATTAATCAAGCCGTTATTGCAGCTAAGAAATAATGCCTCGTAGTAGATCGCGTGACCGTAGGCGTCGTTCACGTTCCCGCTCACGTGACGAGCGTCGAGATCGTGATAGGCGGTATCGCAAAGATAAGGATCGTCGACGAAGACGTGATTCTGATCATTCCGCTTCTGAAAATGAAATCGAGTCACTGCTGAAAAGAGAAAAACGAGGGTAAGTGCATCCAATGAAATTAATATAGTGCGAGAGAGATAATATATGTTTTACTACTTTTTTAAATTTGTAAATGTAAGTTTTTACTAAGTGAGTATGTGATTTAAGATTTTTTAGGAGTCAGTACTTTGGTGTAAATATTCAACTTTTATATGTAAAAGTTATCCTTTTCTCTTTGATTTGCTTTACTGTACTTAGTAATTCGTAGTAAGATAGTTTTAAGTTTATATTCTTGAAAATCTAAAAAAAATTTTTTTTTAGCAGTAAGTTGTGAATACCTCGTTTTTAGTAGAGCGTATATCAGTAGTGTGAGTTGGTGTAAGCTTAGCTCTATTGGCCATATTTTCACTAAGTATAATGTAGTTACGATTTTCCATAAATATGATTAAAATATGTTTTGTGGATTTAATAAAAGCTCGTTTCGGAAATTGACCATTTCCAAGTATTATAAAGTTTTGAGAAAATGTTCGAATGTATCATTTTATTGATTGAAGACTTTAATAAACGAATGAATATCTTTTGATGAATTGGTTAATTAGTTTTCTTCTGAAAAAATTGTCCACGAAATGATTGTACACTAAAGTGTTATTTGGGATGGGTAGCAGGCTTTTTGATAATGTAAAAAAGGAGCAACAAATTTAAGAAATTCGAATAATCGAACTGTAGTGGTTGCATAACCGACTTTGGAACAGAACTAAGTAAATTTTGCCATGGTAGAAGTGAGCATTCACTGTGGTACGTATGGTGTGTAAAACATGGTGTGCCTGAAATTCAATTTTTTTTAATCAAATGATTTTGGCTTAAAATTCTATGCATCTAATGAAGTAATAGTCGATGTTGCTAATGTGTATGTACTTTCATGCCATTTATGATATAAATATTTATAATGATTATGCTTTCAGAAATGGTAGTTCAAATTCACCCTCTACATCGCTAGGAGCGTTGGTTAGCGAATTAGGGGCTGGCGTGAAATTTGATGCATCGCAGCTGAGTCAAGCAGCCAAAGAATGGTTGGATGCAAGGGTCACTGAGCAGGTAATATTTTTTCTATGTCTTGTGCGTGTGTTGTTTAGAGATTTCTGTTTTTACTATCACTAATTATCGATTACCAAAAATTTTGTTTTTGGTCATACTGTCAGCTGTGGTCAACCGATGTGGGATTTGAAAGGTTGCTGTTTTTGCTTAATTGCTACTGCGGTAGCTTTAGTTGCCTTTGCTATTTGTTATTAAAGAAATGCATCTGATTCACGATTACAATTTTGGACTTAATTAATAACATTGTTCCAACTTAGGTTTTCTTGGCCATATGCACGCTTCAAGTAACTTTTCTTAATGACTGCCTAGTAAGATACAATAAAATGTTGCACGGAAGAATGGGAAAGCTACTTAGCTCGCGTAGTGAGTTTGGGATGCAAATATTTTTTAGTGTTCAGAGTTAGGACTGAAGGATTCGAGTCTTAGAAATTTCAAAAAGTGGAACTGAAATAATTTCATTTTCATGCCAGATCTCTACTTTCCGATGCAAGCATTCCCAGTTCTTTATTTATAGTTCGGGTTCTTAAGAAGTTAGTTTATGCTACGTTTCGTATTAACACCATGTTAGGTGTCACACAAAAAAAGAATATTGAAGAATGGAGAAAGGCTGTCTGTGTGTGTGCACCTTGCGGCCGCTAATTAGCTGGAAGGATTCATTTATGGAGTCCGACCACATCAATGGTATTTTTTGAAAATTAGATCTTAATTTTGTAATTGACTAATGTTCATTTTGGAAAGTTTGTATGCTTTGCTCTGCTATTTGGCATCATCAAACGTTTTCTTGTTTAAAGCTTTCTTTTAAATCAATGGTTGCCATCATATTGCAGCGCAAGACTTGCAAATTTTTCGAACGAAAGGACATTTCTTTCCTGTTTTTCTGAAACTTTTTCTTGTAGGTGAGTGCAAGAGTAGCTGATTTGGAATTGTTGGTTCAGGAACGCGTAGCCAAGGCACGCGCAGACCTGGAATCCAGGTTACGTTCGCAGATTGAGCAAGAAATGATACACGAAGTGGAAGAAAGTCGAAAAAGAGAAGTGAGCTAAAACTCTTTTACAGCCTTTTCGTCAACAGAAATGCTTTTGAAATTCAAAGAGTGATTTGCCTAAAACCCCATGAAAATTACGGAAGAGTAAGAATGCACGTTTTTTTCTTTTTCCTTGACCTAATAACGATGGTCAACATCGTTAAATATTCGAATGGTTGAATCTAGTTTTCCTAAATAATGTTTGCAGGAGGAGTCAAAAAAACGATGCATAGAACTTGAAGAAAATTTGGAGAATAAAATGAAAGAATTGGAGGAAACAGAAAAGAAATTGGTAAAGTCTTAAAATGCTTTACATGGATATACACTTAGATTAACATAATGAGTGATGTAGTTTCCGTTATCGCCATGTTTCAGGCTTTTGCACAATTTCAGCACAAATCAATCTCGCAGCAGCTGTTTGAATTACTTTGAATTACTTGTAAATAATTAAATCAGCTGATATTGACTAGCATCCACTATTCTTTGTTGACTTAGAAGGGGTCAACAAAGAATAGTGGTATTTCGGGAGGAAATTCATAATGTGCACATACCTTGCACAGTACTTGGAAATACACACTGCTGCGTGATATCGCTGGGATACTACAACAGGCAAGCTACTAGTAGGTGTTCCGTTGGCCGATAAACTGTTGCAACGCCAAAGCGAAGTACACGAATTCGTACTACTTACGAGCTGTATGTTCATTCAAATATGAGCTTTTTTTAGAATCCTGATTTGGCAATTGTTGGTTTCAACACATTTCTTGTAGTGGTGTTTGTAGTCACGGGTAGGCCGCTGATTATTAGTTTCTTAGGCGTTTCCATCGTGTGCACATAGTTTTGGGTTATTTTGAATCATTGTTTTCTTTCTTTTTGTAATCTATTAGTTAAAAGTCCTTTTTTCAGAAGCAGGAGCGCTTATTAATGCTGGAAACGAAGAGCAAACTAGAAATGGAACGAAATGCGCTGATTCAAGAACGCGAAATGTTAACCAAAAGTGAGCAGCAAGCGATACTGAATAAAGGTGGAACAATGAGGGCGCCAATCAAGTTGAAGCTCGGCTTTAAATGAATAAAATGACGATGAAGATGAAACGATGCGAAATGTATTAAATTAAATTTAACTCATGATGGTTGAGAAACTTTCGAAGTCCCTGTGCTGAAGTATTTTTCTTTTGGCTGTAGCGCTGAGGAGCAACTTGTTTTACGTCTTCCTTTATCCCCTTTAAATTCATGTTGCGTTATTATGTACTTTTCTTTTTTTTTTTTTTTTTTTTTTTCAATTTATAGTTCGTGTCCATTCTAGTACTTTTTCAATTATTGCTCGTACATTGTATATAGAAATGAATCCTCAACTTGCAAAACTGTATTGAAAAGATTTTTGAATATATAGTTGAGCAGCAAGTTTATCGTTGTAAAGAAACAGTTGAACTGGTTTGAATCTCTATTTTGGTGACTGTGCGATATGTTGACTGATTTTGAATTCATGTGAAATATTTGCTTGGAATCGCCCACTATAATGCTTATCATGTCATCTTGAACTAATGTACCGCATGTTTTTGCTAGTAGAGGTTTTGGGTTCGGTTCCGGTTTAGTTACAAACAGATCGGGAGATGATTTCGTGTAAAAGATGTGAAAGGCAAATTTTGACATGATAAGCAATGTATGCCTTGGAACATTTATTTATTTGAGGTTTGGTGAATTTCAGGTACTCCGTTAATATAATTTTGTTTGACAGTTTGTGATGAATAATTTATTCTGACTGTCAAAAATGACAGAATCAACATTTGCATTGAAAGACTGTATACTCCAATGTAGTTGTACTCTGTATGGAGTGCTTAGGTGTTGCTGTAGGGTTCAGGTTTCCATCCGGAGCGAAAGTTTTGAAACGATCCAATTTTGGTATGAGAGCTTCAAATATACCATTGAAAACAATAAAATTTATGAATTGCGACGGTAAGAATGAAAGTGTAAGCATATCAGTATGCATTACACCGGTGTAGGTTGAAAAGAATATGGAATATTTGACCATTAGTTATTCAAATGATCGTATATCTAACTTATCCAAGTTAGCTTCTTCCGAATGTAAATGCACCATTAATTGGGCTTCAAAATCATCCTTAATTTTATTAAAATAGACCAATTCTGGTTTCTTTCTAGTCCAAAAAGCGCAAAACAGTTTGAACACTTGACCTGAAATCATATTTTGTGGCGAAAAATTCTGATTCAAGTTTAGTAAACAAACAACTGGCATACAAACATTATATGATTCTAATTCAATTTAGATTTAATAAACAGCTCACATCAAAGTCCACGACATTGAATTATTTAAATGCTAATGATGCAAATAAACTTCCATAAAACACATACAAAAAACGTGATGAAAGTTGTCAATCGTTGGTGTCCCAGAAATAGTATTGTAGAAGTGCATTTTTAATGCATTAATCTGTAGTAATTGTCTAATCAAAGCTGTCAAGTTGATTCCTGTCACTGCCATTGGAAAACTGAAAAGATTTTAGAGTTTTTTCAAAAAAAAAAAAACAAAAGAGTAAGGAACACCATTTTCTCACATTTCTCTTCCAATGAAATGCAAACTTCCTTTTTTCCTTCTCTCTCTCTCTGACAAATTCAAATTTTCCGTAATTACTAAAAATATAAATGAAATTTACGATGAAATATATAGCAATGAGCTGATAAATAACATTTGCTTACCCGTACAAAGGATGATTTGAATGGGAAAGGATTGATTGCGCATGTGCAACATCATATTGCGCCAAGAAAATGAGCTGTTCCAGTGAAAGAATTCCCATACCTCGGAAATCAGTAGCCGGATCATGACCCTAAATGATTCTCTCATTTACAACAATCCGGAAAAATCCACGAAAAACATAAATTATTTACGAAAACAGTCCATTTATTATCTTTTACAAGTAGAATTCTGGCGTAATTCATAAGCTATTACTGATTGTGTATACTTCGAAAATTTCATTTTCAATAAAAAAAAAAGTCCAAGGCTGAATACATTGAATGAGAATAACTAAATTCAAGTAACTGAAGCAAATGAAGACTAAAAACGGATGGTAATTCGTTATCATTTTCATAGAAAGTTTATTAATAAAAGAAGAACCGAACTAATTGTAAGTTTGTAATTAAAAAAAAATTTCTTTGTTTCTTGCCTGAAATCCAATCTTTTGCCATTGATTCGTCATCCTAGCTTCCAAATCTTCCATTGGCATTAAAAGTTCCCATAATTTGAGCAATCTAAAAAGATGAAAATATAGGAAAAAATATGATTGATATGATTCAAACATAAGACTCAAATAAAAAATAAAATTAAACCTTTTTTCATGAATTTCATTTTCACGATCATACTTCTCCTTGCACATATTCTCAACATAATCACGTAATTGACGGTAACCACGTATTTGGCTCAATGATCTCTTTAATACATCTTTCATCTCATTAAACTGCTCATTGTCTACTTGTGAGCAGCATTTCTTGATAAGATCTGTTGCCTAAATTAATAATTTCTAAGGAAACACTTATTTCAAAAGAAAACACTTTTCATATTTAATCAAAAAAAATTCAGAAACGATGGAAAGATGGAAGTTAAGTTTTTGAAAAAATAGAATAAAAATGAAGGAACTCTAACTAAAAAGTGCCGTTATAAATAATAGTTCAACTAAGATAATACTTCAAAATAAAAATATTCGAAAAGTATCGGATAAATTTCTAACTAACAAGTTTGTCTTCCTGTTCAGCTTCCCAAAACATCGGCATTATTGAAAACTCTCCTTCATCGATGAGCTTTTCCAATTCTGCTGTAATCTGACCACGATTATTGGTTCTCCAAATCAGCTAAAATTATTAACTTAGCTAATTGATGCATCAATTTTCATATTATTTGACCAATTTCTTGCTATCAATCTGCTATTACTGTTCCATTTTTTTTTTTTTGATTTCTTTGGTTTTAATAAAATTCTATCATACAAAATTTCATATTTTGATATTCCATATAAATATGCTTACAATTCTTTCAAGTTCCGTCTTACCAGTTACCATTTGCATGAACCAATTTAGTGTAATTCGTAGCAGACGACGAAATATAAAGCATATATTTTGATAAAGAATGAAAAAAGGACCTTCATCTTGCCAATCCATGAAATTTATTGAACAAAAATTCTAAAATTAGAACATATGAAAATAACATGCTGTTTATTACAAACAGTTATAATTGTCTATGAATAATTTAAATGCTATCTCTATTGAAATTGGAATCGTAATATGCAACATGGAATGAACAAGACCAAAATAAAAGTTTCTAAATTACATTTCAAAATTAAATTAGAAAAAATTAAAAGGAAGCTATTGAAAATTTTATATCAATAGATTCATCTTCAACTGAAATGTTACTCAAAATCAGAGTGAGTAAAAAGACTGCACATGATGATGTAGATAATCTGTGGTATCTTCAAAATAACAATTTTCAAAGAAACACATGCTCTACTGTCAATTTGCTAGAAAAAGTTAAATTATAAGAAGTAAAAATGGTTTATTTTATAATAGTTACCTATAAATCCATACATAGAGTTGAAATAAAAAAAAAAAAAAATGCGGCTAATTATTTTGCTGCCTTCATCAATAAAGTATAGGTATCTCAAACGATGTGCATAATATTTTAATTTAATTAAAAAAATTTGCTAACAATCATTGAATAAAAAACTTTTTCTTGGTACGTGAAAAAACAATAAAAATTGCAAATATATGTGTAAACGAAAGCCTTTTAAGTATAAAAATTGAAAAGTTCAAAGTACAAAATGTAAAAAATGAAATATAAAAAAAATATAAAAAAAACAAACAAACAAAAGATAAAAAAAAATTGAAAAGTTCAAAGTACAAAATAAGCACAATTTACGACTCCTATAAATAAACCGGTATAGTAAGCATATTTTAGAATCAGTAATGCGACATGTTAATCAATTTTACGCTAAGCAATAATGAAGTGTAAAATTTCACTACACCTTTACTGTGCTACAAAATAAATGAATTTATGCTAGTAGATAAGATTTTAACTCTTTCGCATTATTCGTATCACATAAAATTATTGATTTAAAGCTTTAGGAAATAGTGGTAATATTCGAAATGGTCGAATTATAATGTTCGCCTAAATTATATGCAAATCGATGAAACGTAATAATAAGTGGTTTTCGGTCACTGTATTCTTCTCCAAAAAGTAAAACACGTCCACCTGGTTGAATTACTTCAATTCGTCTTTCCAGTGCACAAGCTGTAGCTCGAATCTATAACAGTAAAACTAAATCAAATACTATATGTGACAATGAGAAAATAAATTACAACAAAACTCTCCAACAGATACAATGAAATTCTAATAATGAAAATAACTTTAAACAGAAATGGTAAAAGCTAAGTTATATCTAAACTATAAAAGCCAAATCACAAGAACGTATGAGATGGAGATATTCTGCTTCCTATCACATATATCAAATTGTTATTAACATCTTAGAATATATTATTTCTCTAAAATATACTGCATCTACTGAAACAGTATTACGAAAATGTTATTAGTAATTAATTTAACATAAAATAGCATAAAAAATAAAATTCTATTAAACTATAAAGTATCAAAACAGGTAGTACTTCGTATTTTAAATGCAATTATTGAAGTAGCATTATGAAGTGTAAATAATGAAATATTATTATCATGATTACATCGTTAAGATAAAATCTAAATTATGCAGTTGAAATCTAAAATTACCTCTGGTTCTCCACCCCAAACACCACCATCTGTGCAGCACTTCTCAACTTTCATACAATATTCCTCAAATTCGATCTCATCTACTGCTTCTCCATTATCATCAATTAAAAATGGCAGGAAATCATCCTTATGTGTTCGCATATAAGCAGCAGCTTTTTGACGAATGTCTGCATTTCTAAACTGAAATATAAACTTTCATCTGGTCATTGAAATTTTCATATTCATGTTTACTCATTTAAGTTTAATCATCTCAGTATATTTAATGAGCCAAAAAAAAAAAAAAAAAAAAAATAATT